CGCAAATCTCATCTTTCCCCTTCCTCTGCGCTAGAGGTTGCCTTCCCTCCTCCCGTCACACACGAGGCTGGGTCTGCACTCATCGGGCTGGGTCGGAGCTCACCGAACCCAAGGAGAGCACCGGGTGCTCATAGCTCCCGAGGAGTGCGACCATTGCTTTGCGGCAGGGGCTGCCCACTGCACGCTGCTGCATGGCTCCCTCTCACGGGCAAAAAAGAAAGCAGCATCTTTAACTTGGGGCAGCCTCTTAGACGACGGCGTGGCTGAGACAGAGCCCAGCACTGGCTCCTCTCCCAGGTTGCGGCCACATATCATCATTTTGAAGTTCCCGCTGGGACAGCGGCAGCAGGTCGGACTGGCAGGTTCCAGTCCGTATCCATCCTCCAGCTGGAAAAGTCACCACTCGGGGGAGGAAGGAGGTGAGAGTGAGCAGCTGCAGCAGGTTCCTGCCTGGCTGGTGTCCCCTCCAGCACAGATGTTTACTGCAAACATGCGCAGCTCGGACCCTGATGGGCCAAAGAGGGAAAGTCACCATCTCATTTGAATAGCTCTCCTGCGCCCTGGCCTTCCCCAGCTGCTGGGCTGGAACAGGATCCTTTTTGCAACAGGCCCACGTGAAGCCTGGGGTTACCAGGGGCTCACACAAGGCCCGGAGTGCTCCCTCCCCTTCCCCTTCTCAGCCTGAGGAAGAATCCTCCACTCTGTAATTTTAAGTGCTATTATTTTTAATAATCCCCTTGCAAACAATGAACTCCTTGTGCAATTAGGGCCCCTACCCCCTCCCACCTCATGCTCTCCACATGCCTCTCAGACTTGTATTTCACGAGCTTTTATGGAGGCCTGAACAGAACAGCATCATGGCTTCAAGCCTACAATTAACAGCCTTACACCCCCACAACAGCTCCTGGGGGCTGAGACTGAACCCTGCCCCTCACTCACCCCCCCCCCCGATCAAAGAGCATCAACCAGGCACTACACCGCTGCCTCGGATTAGCTTGGCCCGATCCTGCAGACGGGGTGGGTAAGTGCCTGCAGCTCTAGTTGCAAGGCCAAAGTCCCTTCCAGGATTGTACTAAGCCAGGCAATATTCGAGAGCTCAGCAACCCAGAAGATATCCAGCCCTCCCTCTCCAGGCCAGGGCTGCAGCAGAGTGACCAGAACTGGTTTGGTGTGGCTCTAGCAGCCCAGTTCCACCTGTCGTGGGGGGACCAAGCCCCCACCTGCGTTTGGAGCATAAACAGGACTGAAGTTACATATTCAGCTCCCTCCGCCTCCTCGGAGCATGTCAGCGCACAGTGCCGGTGGCAGGCCCTTACCCCCGAGGACAGGGACTCTGGCCAAGGTGCTGGGGAAGTTTGGGAGCTGCCGCTGCTCAGGAATGAGCTCTCTGGAAGGCAAACGCATTCCTCCCAAATAAAGCAGCAGGGGAAGGTACGGGGCCTGCCGTTGTCCAGCAGGTTTCCGGAAACGGGCCTTGCAGCTCCCAATGGGGTTAATCGCAGGGCTCTGCCGTGCCTCGGAGCAGCCAGCCCAGCCTTCCCCTCGTGTCGCTTGGCGAGCATTCGCTCCGTGCCCCGCGCTGCTGGAACAGGGCAACACTTGTGCAATCCTGTCTCTGCAAATCCTCCGACTCAGCAGGAATGCTGGCGGCTGCCTTAACCGGCAGCAGCGGGATTTTTTTTTGCGTGCCTTTTTTAGCGTGCAAATTCTCCCTCCACTACCGTAAACATTTTAAGGGCTTGGGGAACTGCAGCTGGAACCTCACCCCTTCCTTGGGCTGCTGCCTGTGAAGTTAACTTTGGAGGGAAAGGGGGCAAAGGTCTGTCCTTTCTGTTCAGATAAAAGGAGGAAGAGGGGATAGGGGGATTTGTCCCATCACATCATCTCATCTCAGGTCTTGGAAGGCAGGAAGTAGGGACTATTGTCTGCAGAACAAAGGGCATCCCGAAGGGAATGCGCCTCCCCAGGCTGCCGCCACCTGATAGAGCCAACTCCCTCTTCCCAGCACCCTTCTCTTCACCCTTTCGCTGCTCTCCAAGGGAAGAAAGCAACTCCTGAGGGTGGGACAGGGCAGGTGCTGGCCCAGGAGGGGAAGGTGGCAGCACTGGGGAGCTGGAAGGGGAAAAGGGGGGCACTCCCTTTCTCGGCAGAGCTCCACGTGTTTATTTGCCCAGGGGATTCTGGGCCAGTCGCAGGGGATCTCCCGGGTGCCTTGCAGCCACAGCACACAGTAGCACCGATGCAGAAAAGCTGCTGGCAAAACAGAAGTGAGACAGTAAGAGCAAGAGAGCAGACCGGGACCTGGGGAAAGGAGGCCCTGACTCAGACTGAGAGTCACCGTTTCAGCTCAGGCAACTCCTCTGCCTAAAAGCTCCTGTGCAAACCGCATGCTGCACTTGCACGGAAAAGCTTTGAGGAACAGCTCTCAGCTTCCTTGCAGAGCTGTACGCCCATGCCTGCAGGGGGCACAGCCGAACCCGCACAGCTCAGAGACCCCCCAAGTGAAAGAAAGAGGGAAGACCGCAGGGAGTCGCCATCCCCAGGGCCTCCCAAGGGAGATCAGCAGCCCCCTGGGCAGCAGCAACGCAAGCTGTCGGGCCCCTTTGAGCCCAGAGGTCAGACGGCCAGGCCGGCAGGGAAGGGCACTCCCACCGCCTGCTCCCGCTCTCGTCAGCCTGATCCGCAGTTTTCAGCGACTTCAACTCCCTCTCAAACGCTTGTCCCTCAAGTGCCGTACAAGAGCCGTCACTCAGCAGTTGTCAGCCGGGCACCTCTCCCGGCTGCAGCCCCCCTGGCTTCATGGCCCTCATCTCTAGGCAACCTGACCTGGACACCGCTAGCTCCAGCTCCCCGGTTCCCATGGAAAGCACCACACAAGAGGCTGCGGGGCCTTTTCTCTGCGCTGGGAGAAAAGGGGCTTTGTTAGCTTGCCCAGGGGGACCGCGTGAGAGCCGAGGCGCGGGGCTCTGGGAATCCAAACGGACAAACGAAACAAAACAAAACCCCAGAAGAAAGCGGAGCCCTGGAGAAAGAGGGAGCAGCCTTTCCCAGGATCATCTGTAGGTGCTCGGGGTATTTATCCACCCCCCCAACTCTCCCGCTCCGTGACTGCCACGCATAAAAGAGCAGCTAAGAGTTTCCGCTAAATAACCATGGCAGGGAGAAGCGGCAAAACCGCTGCCAAGCCTGGGAGATCTTCGGAGCAAGTGAAAGGGGCCCAGAGCATCACCCCACCCCCTCCTTCCCACCAAGTCCGCAGCGCTCAGGGTTGCCTCGCAGTACTGCCAGCGCTGGGAAAGAGAGCAAGTCAAACTAGTCAGATCCCCCAGCTAGTCCCAAGCTCTTCTCTTTGCTGCCGAGATCTTTTAAATATAGATAAATATATAAACAGATATCTGAGAATGGGAGGAAATGTGTAAAGAGGGAAGGACTGGTGGAGAGGAAGAGCGAGATGTTCTTAGATGAGGCAGAAACTGCTCGTTTCACGATATAAAGCTGTCTGACCAAGGCACCCGAAGGGGAAGGGGGTGTTTCGAGAGGAAATGGGTACTTGCTTTGTTCTAGGTTTTGGAGAGGACTAGAACAGGGAGCCAAGAGACAGCTGGAGAGCGTGGGAGCATCAGGGATGATGATGAGGGTTTATTAAGCAAGGTGGAGGGGAGTTTCTCGGCAAGTACGTGCTAAAAGCCATGCTGCAAGGCAGGAGAGATGCCCAAGCACTGCTGCCTTCCCAAACGCCCCCCCACGCTTGCTCCCCCGTCAAGATATCCAATACCTCTCTCAACCACCAATAACCTGGAGTACATGCTGCCCACCACCGCAGCGTCTCCCCCCGGACTCTGCCTGTGGCCCTGCAGACATGCCCTCACCGGCAGGTGGGCTCAGGCACGTAGCACAGGGCCTATCACTCGAGGTGTCAGAGCCACAGCGGCAACATCCCGCGTACAGGGGATCTGTTCCTGCCTCTGCCACTGCAACTCCCTGCCTCAGTTTCCCCACTGGAAGATACGGTCGGTGCTGACACACTGGTGAAGCACTGCCTGGAAAGGGGCTTGATTATTATTGCTTAGCCTCTGCCAGGGTCTGGCCAGGCCCCATCTGAGCCCCCTACCCACTACGCAGGTCTTCAGTGGAGGTGGCCCCGAGACATCCTAGACACCTGGGCTCCAATCACTGCTGCCCGGGGAGGAGAGAAGAGGGCTCGACAGCTGCAGGATCCCTGCCTGCGTGGCCCCCACCACAGCCCCGACAACTGGCTCTGCCCTGCCAGGCTGCGGAGCCCAGCTTCCCCTCCCACGAGCCCAGTCTGGCACATCTTGCTCCTCGCTCCCCATCTCTCCAGGAGCATAGGGCAGGGGAAGGGCAGGGCATCAACCAGCCCTAAGCATGACACAGGGACACACACAACTGAGGGGGGCAGAGTGTGGGCTGGCCCAGCTGCACTGTGGGTGGGGGCACTTAGGACGGGCAGGGTGGAGGTGGGGAGGAGAGCGCAGCACAAGGGAGCCCTCAGCACAGGAGAGCCCAGCTGCAGCAGGGGCGGCACTTAGCGCGCAGGGCAAGGGAAGCACCGAGCAGGGAGAGCTGGGCTGCGGGGCACGTAGCACAGGCTTGGCATGGGACAGCCCAAATGGGGACACACCCAGCAGCACACGGGCACCCTTGGCATGGGACAGCCCAGGGGGGCCATTGGCATGGGTTAGCCTGGCTGCAGACACACCCAGCAGCAAGGGGGGCACCCTTGGCACAGGACAGCCCACCTGGGGACACACCCTGCAGCAGGAAGGCCTTGGCAGGGATAGCCCAGGGGGCCCTTGGCACAGGATAGCTCACCTGGGGACACACGCAGTAGCATGGGGGGCCCCTGGCATGGGAGAGCCCAGCTGGGGACACACGCAGCAGCAGGGGGGCCTAGCACGGGATAGCGGGGGGGTGCCCAGGGCACGGGCCGACCCAGCTGCAGCGCCCGGCCGGGCGCGGGGGGCGCGGCGGGCACGCACCATGCCGGGGTTGCGGGAGATCCAGGTGTCGA